TATTGAATTAGGGCTTGGAGGGACAGGATCATAACCCTCACAGGCACATTGCTGTGAACCTGAAGAACCAAATACCTCCCACAGTACCTCAGCCCTGCAGTGGAGAGAGCACACCAGGCAGGAGGCTACAGAATGGAGAAGGAGCAATGGAATAAAAGGTTCACATTTCTTTCAGCCATTACAGCAGCAATGTGTGTTTGGATTGCACTCCAAGTCCACTAATGTGGACACCTCCTATTTGTCCCAAGTATCTGGTACTTTGGGGGTAATGTAACTGAAGATTCAACTATCTTGATAATAGCTGGAGCTATTGTAGTCCAGCAATCACAGGTTCTGGGACCAACTGGCAACAGCTCTCCTGGATCTCAGCCGGAGGTTTTTCCTAGCTCTGCAAACCAGGAATCTTTTTGATCTGGGGAATGAGCATAAGTTCTTTCTACTTCCTATGCGCTCCTCTTAGTAATGGGTAGGACTCTGAGGTGTGTGTGTGTGAAAGATATGAAAGATATGACAAACATTGTTCTAACTCTCAAGTCTTGTATGTGTGAAAATTCACTGTCTACTCCACTTATTAGCTTGCAGCTGAACAGTCTCTGTGGTTAAGCATAATTCTGGGTAAAACCTCAAAGCGTGCTCCAGTGACAGCGGTCTGATGTCATCACAATTTCTTTTTCATATACACTGACATGCAACCACAAATACCAAAGACAAATACATCGAGATCTCACCTTACTGTGGTCTCTTCTCACTTTAGAAGCTACAGCCAAAACCGTTTTAATGCAATGTTTACTCAGGGACTTAATATTATTCAGAACAGTTGTCCATGGATTGCAGAGCTGAAGGGCAGCAGGCTTTGGGAAATGTAGCCCTACGATGGGTAATCTACAGTTCCCATGATTCTTTAGGGGAAGCCATGTGTTTTAAATGTATGGTGTGTAAAAAAAATTCACTCTTTTAAAAATTAACATGAGTGGATTTCAAAGGCAGCAACTGTAAAATGGGGGGGGGGGGGGTTTAAAAGCAATTTAAAAAGGGGCCCTCCAGGCATCCTTTTATTGCACATTCATGATGATCTGTGGCCATGACGGTATTGGGCTGCTCATATCTGATTCCCACTTTCAATACTGTTTGTGACTGTAAAAGGTTTGGGGTGGTCACACTGCCTCATTTCCAATTAGTGCTTATCCCATAACTACTTGCTGAATCATGCCACTTTTTATACCACAAATGTTCTGCTTTATTTTTGTTTTGCTTTCGTTGTCCTTTAGCCCTTCTAATCAGCAGTAATGCGGTCACATTAGGGAAACATCACAGAACAAACTAAAGCAGAATAAATCTACCACTAACATACTATTACTGTGTCAAGAACATGTCACAAAATACACTCGCAATAAGACACCAGTCTGAAAGGGCCCTACACAAACAAATAATGTTTCCACCCATGGGCAGGCATGCCCAGGCCAAACACATCTTATTGTATATGTGTGAAAGGAAAGACCAAAACTGTTATGTCACAATGAAGCTTCTCTAGCATAGTTAAGAATGTACAGGAATGTTGGCGGGAAAGAATGAATGAATGAATGAATGAGGAAACATTCAGTGATTTGATCCCCCTATTGCATTTTGCTCTGGACCAGTATAGCAATGGATAAGAACTTAATAAGAGCTCTGCTGGATAAGGCAAAAGGCCCACCTAGTTCAGCATTCTGTTCTCACAGTGACCAAACAGATGTCACCAGGAAGCTCTCAAGTGGGACCTGAGCACCAGTCCTCTCTGCACTTGTGATTTCCAGCAAATGCTATTCAAAGGCACACTACTTCCAACACTGAACATAGCCATCATGGCTAGCAGCCATTGATAGCCTTATCCTCAATGAATTTGTCTAATCCCCTTAAGAACATAAGCAGAAGCTGGCTGGATCAGGCGAAAGCCCCATCTAGTCCATAATCCTTTCCCCACAGTGATCAAACAGATGCCTCTGGGAAGCACCCAATCAGGGTTTGAGTGCAACAGTGCTCTTCCCACTTGCGATTCCCATCAACCAACATTCAGAGTCATGCTGCCTCCAACAGTGGTGATATATTAGGAGAGGCTTCCAGTTTTTGTCTTGTATCTCCATGCAGATCATACTAGTAGCAACCCGGTCTGTTGTGTGGTATCACCAAACTACCTTTCAACACCTGGCATCCTGACACAACAATCTCAAACCTGAAAGTTTCCTCCTCTACCCTCTGGCACATATGGGGCTGTACCATGGGACCAAGTCATATATAAAGAAGTTTACTTATTTTCAAATAGAAGATCTATAAAAATGTGTGCATTCTCCTGAGGTCTCTTAAGGCTTTATTTTATTCTGTAACTCTCCTCTCCAATCTGCCTACCTGATGCAACTGCTAGGAAAAGAAAGAATTATAATAAAAGGTTGATTAATTATGTGCAATAACCTGGACAGCATATCATGAAAATTCCATTCTTGTTTACTCAGCTAATTCACTTTTTATGAGTGTTTAGGCTTTAAAGCAAAACAAAGCACTAATTACCCAATTAACGAGCAATTAAGTTACTGCAGCCTAATAGCCTCTACAGTGGCTGCCTTTATGAGTCTGATGGTGAGTTAAGACACCCATTAAACAAATTTATACACAGCTGTAGCAAACACTACATTTCCGGAGATGTTACATTACATGCTAATATTTTTTTCACAGCCCAGCCCACCCCTTCAACGTGGCGCCTGTTTTAGAGAAGGCAATTTTCTGTTTTAAGGAGCCAGTGTCTGATTAAAGGAAATATGCATGTTTTTGTTTAGCAAAGTGACCATCAAAAAGAGGGATGGTGGACAAGTGAGAAAGGGCATGTTGGATGGCCTGTCAGAATATCCAGCTGTTTTAATGCAGCTGTGCATCATTCATCATTGCCTTGGAAAAAAAAGCTGTGCAGTGGTTCTTATGCTCTGGAGACCAGCAAATTGCCATTAATCCTTGGAATTTCTCATTTGGACCATCTGTTCCTGGTTTCCACCAGCATCAAAGTCCAAGGCTGAGTGCAGGCAGGATCCAAATGTATGTCAGTGGTTGCCCATCCTTCTGGGAGAATGACTACCATCATTGTCCATTGTTTGGTCTCTCTAGAAAGTCAAGAATTTGTCTGAAGACAGCTTATCTTTAGGTAAATGTCTACACACCAGTGCCTTTCAACCCTTGGGAATCCTCCCCAAAGATCCTTTGAGGAGAAGACTGGTGGTAATTAGGGGTGGACTTTTGTAATCTTTCGTAATATGGCATAATATGTTCTAGTTCAAATTCTTAACATGTCTAATTCCAGTTCACCCAGCAAAAACAGTAACTACTTTCTGTTCTAGTTCAGATTTTTGGACTAATCCGGTTAATTTTTTTACATACTTTGTCCATCTGTTTCCTATGCATTTGGACACTTCTTAAGATATCATAATCCTATTTCACATGATGCTTCGTGAAATCAAGGAGCAGATTCTTCATCTATGTTTAGGTACATTCTGATGCCATTTGGATTCAAGATGGTGGACCGAACCTTTAAGAACTGCACTGATTCTTTTGGTTTCTTAGAATTCTGATCAACACTGGGTACAAGGCTGCTTGCAGGTAATAGAGGAAGAAGCCTTACACCAAGCCAGACTAACAGTCTGTCTGGCTAGCCTAGTATGGGCATCAGATTTCCAGGGTCTTGGGTAAAGATATTTCCCCTGCTCAGTATCCTTTTGACTGGAGATGCCAGGATTGCACCTGGGACCTGCATGCAAAGCAAGTGCGCTACTTCTGAGCTATGGTCCCTCTGCATACGCACACCCAATGCGCATCTGTGCTTGCTTCTATCGTCCCTCGTTCTTCTCCGGCAAAGCCAGCCTGTTGGTTAAGACACACTGCTCAGCGTCATACCTAGCTGAGCAAGTCCACGTTCTCCCCCCCCCCCCAAGTCATTTCAGAGAGCGGGTGTCAGATATCAAACCCAATATCCTTTTTCTCATTAGCGCTTCTTCCCGTTGCAGACCTTCAAATGTGGTAATAATTAATGAGTCTGTGTCAGAAAATGAATAAAAGATGGCTCAGATGCTTCACCATTCAGGGCTGACCTTTCGCTGAGTCTACTGTATTAATATATTCTTGTGTTGTCGGACTCGGGGAAAAAAAGAGAGGAGCTAACTGCCTTATGAATTATTTATCAACACAAAAAGTCTTAACCAGAAACAGTGTTAACATTAATTCCTAACCCTCTGTGTCACAGCAAAGCCTGCCTGCGCTGAATAATTGAATTTTAGTTTTAGACAAGCAATCAAAGCACAAGGCGCTGTTGTCGTCAGCGCGGGCAGGAGGGGCTTATCTTCTGCACATCTGGTGGCACCATGCAACGCCAGGGAGGCAGTCAGACATGGAAAGCTGTCAGCAAGCTCACTGTGGAGCTCTGTGGTGATCCTCAAGTGAACACAGAGGCAACTTTTCTCAGACTTCCCCTTGTGCTACCAAGAAACAGCCCCATCTATGGCTCCAAAGCCATAAAAAATATTATATATAGCTTAGTACTGTCTACACTGCCCAACAGCAGCTCTCTAGGATTTCAGACAATGATCTCTCCCAGCCCTACTTGGAGATGCCAGGAATTGAACCTGAAACCTTCAGCATGCAAAGCAGATGCTCTGATACAGAGTTATGGGCCTTTCCCCAATCTATGTTATGGCCTTATTCCCATGCCTTAGGCCATGTCAGCCTATTTGTCTGTCTAGCCCAGTTTTGTCTATTCCAGGTATGCGGAACCACAGGGATTGGGGCAAAATGCGAGCCTCCAAGGCTCTTCAGACAATTACCAGGCCACATTCCTCACTGGCCTTGTGTCAGGAGCGATTCAGCAGTAAATCACACCATGCAAGTTGGTGTTACTCAAATAAGAGTGGACTAGATGATCCAAGGGTTTGCTTCCAATTCTACAGTTCTATGACTATTCAAGTTTACCCTTTTCCACTAAAAGGAATGGCCATAGCTCAATAGTAGAATATCTGATTTGTAAACAGAAGGTTCCAGGTTCAATCCCCAGCATCTCCAGGTAGGCTACTGTCTGAAACTCTGGGGAGCTACTTCCAATCAGGGTCAACAATACTGAGCTAGATGGACCAGTTTGGTCTGAACGGGTATAAGTCAGATTCCTATGCCCCTAACATCACTTGCCCTTTACCCTCAGCACCTCCAGCACAAACTGATTTTGAAGTGCAAAGCTACGGTTTTAGCAGTTGCTGGAAACCACAGGAAGCGAGACTGTTGTGCTCAGGTCCTGCTGTGAAAGATTCCCATAGGCATCTAGTTGGCTACTGTAAGAAAAAGATGCTGAAGTAGTGGAGCCATTGGCCTGATCCAGCAGGGCTCTTCTTACCTGCTTACATTATGCCTTTCCTCTTTCTTGTTCTCTTGTATACTCTAAGAAGGGACAATCAAGGGCCTTGAAGTTGCCTATCAACAGTTCTATATTGACAGGAGACTATGCAGGCCCAAAGGTCAACTGGTCACAGTCTTCCATACTATAGCGAGAAGCTTTGTGGTCCATTTAAATATGGTAACTATTTCTACAGCTGCATCTACACAAATTACTACGTATATGGAAATTTTATGCAAACCAGTGTCCTCTTTTCTCTGCTTTTATAGTGACACATTTCCTCTTTTGGTGCAATGTGTAATTGGTCACCTTAACCCAGTCTCATTTCTTATGATCCAATATGCCTTTGGACATTTTTCTACTTACCAAGTGCTGCTTATGAATGTTCAGAGCAATTTTAACGGGATCTCAAAGGCAGAGCAAAGCACTATTTCAGTGAGATTAGGAGTTAGCCCAAGTCTCTCCTTAAGATCAGTATTTATTAGGTCCTTTCTCCCAAATACATCCATTTCCTTTGCTTGGGATCATGTTATATAAAAGATGCCTGGCTGGGCCGCTCAAAAGTTGAGAGCTTTATGTACAACCCCAATAAATGGGGTTTAGCATTGACTGCTATGCAGAGATTGACTTTTGTCCAATCTAAAGCCTTAAGGCAAGCAGCTTCCATTTCTCATGCACTGCAGAACTTTGTAAATGGGTCAAAACAGCTCTTCAGTTTGTCACTGTTCACAGACCCAGTGACCTGCTTGCTATTCCAATGTCTTCAGTGCCTAGAAACACTCACTGTTTGATGCATATGAGTGGGGTTTTGACAGGGGAGGGGAGTAAAAATTCCCATTTCAATATACCAAAGCAAGCTAGTAAAAAGAAAGGGAGAGAGACCAGTCATTCTCTTTTAAAATGACTAAACATCCACTCTTGCAGTTATGACATAACCTGGCAGATTTTTCATGTTACTTTGCTTTTTTAAGTGCCTTCCTCAATGTGAATCCAATTACCAAAAAGCCTTTGTTTTCGCTAACAAAGGGACTGTGTTTTGAGGGTCTCTGGCTTCGTCTGGCATTAATCAGTTCTCAGCCGGGGAACTCCATAACAACCACCTTGGGGTGCGTTTTATGACAGATGTACAAAGGCAGGGTGATTTGAAGAGTGTGGGAGCAACACAATTCCCTCTTGACTCCTCCACATTTTTCCTGAGAAGTGTATAAAACACCCAAGGCCTTATGTGAGGGGGGGGGGTGCACTGCATAGTGACCCAAGCTCACATAACCTCCCCAAGGCACATGTTGCCTCCACCAAGAAAAGCAACACTGGAAATCTCACTCTCTCTCTCTCCCCCCCCCCCCCACAGATCAAAGGTGGAAAAAAATTTCAGCCTGAGGGCCACATTCTCCTCTGGGCAACCTTCTGAGGGCCACATGCTAGTGGTGGATGGGGCTGGTGGCAAAGGTGGGCAAAGCAACGAACGTATTTTTTCCCCTTCATACAGCACAGCCATTTCTACCTTCCATCCAGGCAAGTAAGAGGCACCATCAGAGTTCAAAAACACATTCCAGCCAGGTAGAAACTCCTGAGGAGGGTGCAAAGCAAGCCTAGTGAAAGATGGCATAGGGACAGTTCAGAGGGCTAAGAATATTGAACATTTTAGATATCATCCAGTGAAAGTGTTGATAACATCCAAGGTGGATCTCAAACCGGGAACCTGCAGGATGATAGGCAGGGATTTAAGCTACACTGCCACCACCCAGATCTGGCCAAAGACAGGAGTTTCAAGGAGACCAATCAAGACAGTCAACGAAGCCTCTCCGTCCTAATAGGCCACAGTGAATCCTGGCTCAATCTTGCTTGCTACTACATATCATCACTTCCTTTGCTTCACTCACCTCAATCCACCCTCCAGTACACAGGAGCTGGCTCTGACAACCACTGGTATAAATTTTGGTCATGCACATATCTCTCTGCTCTCTGGCTGGTGTTACAGTCAGCTTTATTTATTTATCTATCTGCACACTCCATGCTGAGAGAGATAAACACTGGATCCGAAAGCACAGCTGACAATGGCATACAAATCATTGTGCTTTATGCCACTTAGGTAACAACCCAGCCAGCATGATTTACCTTTACAGGAACCATCATACATTTCACTTTGATTTACTAAGTCCAACATCGAGTCCCAGAACTAGATGGCAATACAGCAACAAATACAAAAACTCTGGAGCACAGCTGCATGGGCTCGGTGCCCCAGTATGGACCAGAAGCTGCAGGGAGACTGCAGACCATTCTAAATCTATCTGCAGCCTTGCCTGTTGACTTGGGAGTGAGTTCTATGGGGATTCACGGGGAATGGAAAATGAGGGTGAGGGGAATAGAGTGGAGTATCCTGAAAGATGCCATTGCTGGCTGGCTAGCAGCCTGAACAGAGCACCCCACCACTACAATATTTTGCTGCAGGTCCCACTTAACAGTTATGACAAGTAACAATAAAGGGTTTGCATCAATCCCATTGGCCAGGCAATCTAATTTGATGTATTTTGCCCGACTTGCAGAAGATGGTTCTCTAGCTACATTGCTGTAATTTACATTATGTTTAGACTGTATTATTTTTATCTTTTGTTTTGATTCTATGCCACTTTGGACACGCATTGGCCAGAAAAGTGGAATATAATTTTTTTAATACTTTAAATAATAACAATAATGTGCATATAGATAGGGTTAGATGCCAGAACACATGATTGGAACAGCAATGTGGTAGAGCTTAAGAGGGCTCCATCATTTTAGCTGAGGGACTGAAACAGCTCGAGTCAAGCCAATAGAAGATCCATATACCTATAGGAGGCCTATGGTTTTATAAGTCTAGTTTGGATTTAAGAAGCCATGATTTTCTGGTCCAGCAATGAAAGTAAAAGATGGAATTTTAAAATGGAGAAAAATTTCCACTGGTGAATCAATTGCAGTGAAAATAATAGAAGCATTTTATTTCACAGTACAGTACAATAAACTGCTCAACCGGCTGCATAACTTGGGATTCAGATTATGATTTTCCATGGATTGGCTTCCCCTTAACACACTTTCTCTACTTCTTTATCTCTCTTCCAAGTGCATGTTTACAGGTGAAATTGCAACAATGTTTTCTGAGTGTGATTTTCAGGCAACCTCTAGATTGCGTGGCAGCGGGTATTCACAAAGAAGTATGGCTCAGAGGGTTAATTCCCTTGTCTTCTTATAAAAGGAGGGGTGTCAGGTTTTGTTGTTGCATTGAAGCCTCCAAAACTATTCAGAAACCAGATTGAGCGGGCTGAATCACTGATGACTTATACTGCCCGAGTCTCATACTACTACCTTCAAGTGGAATTTCCCTCTTTGAGATTTACATGACCACAAAGCCAGATGCTGGGGGAGAGGGTGGAAAGGTCTGACTCTAATTTGGTCTAATGGGATGACAAATTGCAAAACAAGACAAAATTACCAGCAGTCTCAAGTAACAGAGTATAGATTGAGGCTAAGTAAAGTCTGACTAAGAACTCTTCTGTCCCTGTGTGTTGAGCCTTATTTGTTTAAAGTTTGTTTAAGTTTATTCATTCATTGATTGCATTTTTATTCAATCCTCCCTGAAAGGAATTTAGGACATGCAAAGCAAGACTAAATTATCGGCAGCCTCAAGTAATGAAGGATAGATGTGGGAGAGAAAACATTTTAAACTCAGAGGGCTTCTAGCCAACCTTTTTTTTTGGGGGGGGGGGAGCAACGGGACATGCCAGTGTTTGGTGGGGCCAGAGGCAAAAGAGGGCAGAGCAAGAGATGGGAATTTTACATCTGAATAGTAGGCTAGTTCTATATACTCAGGCATCCTTCTCTATCCTCCATGCAGGAAAGCAAAGTGTCAGAGGTCAGTGACAAATTCCAACCACGCAAGAACACTAGAGGATGCAAAGAAGGCTGGTGAGGGGTGTGGCTCAGGAGGGAGTGGCCTGGGGAGAGTATCAAAGGCCAGACAGAAAGCCCCGGAGCACGGCATTGACCCTTGGGTCTGAGGTGTCAGGATTAGTAGCCAAGGTTTATCAATGGCTACTAATCTTGATGGTTCTACCTCCAATGCCAGAGGCAGTACCAGTAAATGCTTCTGAATGCCAGTTCCTGGGAATCACAAGTAGGGGCTGTTGTGTTCAGGTCCTGGTTGTGGGCTTCCCAATGGCATCTGGTCAGCTACTGTGAGAACAGGATGCTGGACCAGATGGGCCACTGGCCTGATTCAGCAGGACTCTTATTATGTTCGTATGATAACACACACTCCCACCAGACAGGAGACATGCTGCCTTATGTTAGATCAGGGGTCTGCAACCTTTTTCAGTCATGTGGAGGGCCGGACTATATTTTGAAAAAATAATGAAAGAATTCCTATGCCCCACAAATAACCGAAAGATGCATTTTAAATAAAAGCACACATTCTACTCAAAAGCACGCTGATTCCCAGACCGTCCGCAGGCCGGATTGAGACGGCTATTGGGCCGCATCCGGCTCCCGGGCCTTAGGTTGCCTACCCCTGTGTTAGATTCTCACAGTCACCCAACATCTTAAGGTTCTTTATCTCTGAACCAGACTTAAACCAGACAGCCTTTTAAACAGATAACTCCTTCAAACAAAGGGCTGCCAAGCAGGGCACACAGCCACTCTACAGGCAGGCCGAGCGTCTTCTTGAAGAGAAATATTTTCACATGGCCATCAAAGGAAGGGCAAAGCGAATCTCCCAAAGAGGAAATGCCAAAACTGTGCCCTCTTCCACAACCCAACCAAATGAATCCAGCAGATTTGAAAAGTGCTATCTTGGATTTGAACAGACAAACCCATAACTTTGATCTGGGACAGAAACAAGCCAGAATAATGCATCCATAGTGCTTATGAATACACCAATAAAACCATGTCAAAAGAAGATGCTTTGGTGCCTAATGAAGAAAAACCTATTATTTTTTTGTCACCACTTTCATGACTCCCAGAACAATTTGGAAGACAAATATCCATCTGGAAAGAGCCTCCCTGAAGGAATATGAGTGACTGTCTCTCTGCATCACAGAGGCGCTCTGGAAAGCCGTTTCCCCTGCCATTATGTGGAATGTTTTGGGTGGCTTGTTTGTGAGCCAAATGAAAAATAGCTCAAACATCTGGAACCAAAATCTGCAGCTTTAACAAAGAGAGAGGTCCAGTAAAAAGAATCCACGGTTAACCAATCTTGGACACACAAACACCAAATTCTAGTTGGGGCATATTAATAATATTCAGAGAACTATTAAGTTCAAAGGAGCCTGCCTTCCTATGGAGCGGCAGCTGGTCTCCCTTGGACCTGGTGTGGGTAGGAAAGTGATCTGGAGGTAGAGGTAGAGATCAGAATAGGTGGAGAAAACAGGAAGTGGGGGCACTTTGGTCACATCCACACCATAGACTTAACACACTATGATACCACTTTAAATAGCCTTACTCCTCCCCCGCCCCCGCCAAGAATCCTGAGAGCTGTGGTTTGTTAAGTGTGGTGAGAGTGGCTAGTAGGCCCCTATACAGTGGCACCTCTGGTTGTGGACGGGATCCTTTCCAGAGCTCCGGTCGGATCCCGAAGTTTCCGCAACCGGAGGGACCGCTTCTGTGCACGTGGCGGTAGAGCGCTTCTGCACATGCGTGCGCGGCAAAAACCCAGAAATATACTTCTGGGTTTGCCGCTTATGAATCCTGAAGTTTACGTAAGCGGAGGGATATGTAAGTGGAGGTACAACTGTATTCTCCCCTCAAAGCTACAATTCCCAGAGTAATCTGACAACAATCTCTCTTCCTAGGGAACTCTGGGAAACGTAGCTCTCTTGACAACTCTCAGCACCCTTAACAAAATGAATTCCCCAGAATTCTTTAGGGAAAGCCATGTTAGAGTAAGTATAAGAGTGTTTGAAAGGTATGGGGGCATGGGACTTCCGGGGTGGCGCCATCTGCAATGGCGGACTCCCTCTGAACTGGAGGGACCAGCTCCGCGCGAAACGGGTCTTTTCCGTTACGGCGAAGCGGGGACCCTTTTAGAAATCACAGGCGGATGAAGCCTGTGACCATGGGACTCAGCGGGCACCCTTAGCGCCCCCCCAACCCGCAAAGGAACCCATTAACGGGCTCCGAAGCGAAGAGGGGGAAGTGGCGCGGTGCTGCGAGTCAACTGCTTTTTCCGTGGAGCGAAGCCGCATAGCCGTTGCCGGAGAGCGCTGCCTTTTTCCTGGGACAATTTGGCATCTAAAATAATCACCCATGAGTACATAAACTTTGAACAATTGGACTATAAACAAGGATTGGCGAGCAGAAAGGAATTGGACTTAAAAATTTAATCTAATTTGGTACTGAAACGGGAAGGTCTAAACAGGAAGTCAGCCTTCCGTTTCTCTGTAGACAGAATAAAGCAAAGACAACGTAAACTAGAGCTTAGAAAATTACTTCTAAAGGATTGGCTTTCATCATTTAAAATTGTTGAACCCCCCTTCGGTAGCAGGAGAAGAAGGGGGATCTTTTTTTGGACTGTTTAAACGTGCAGAAGCGAGTTCAAAGTAAAGTAACTTTCCTCCGTCCTGATCCTGGAGCGGGGTGTCAGGACTGACGTTTGAAGCTCATTGACCAGAGACAAATGCTTGTGACAGACAGTTAAAAGAAGTGTAATATAGTGATTCCACTGTTTCCTTTCGCATTTTAAAGGAACAAATAGTGACAAAATATCTCTAAAAGAAACTTTGTTGCTATTGTCTTTAAAAAGAAAGAACAAACAGAAGTTTTCCCCCTAGAGGGAGACTGTGAAACTGTAACTAATTCCAGGGAGCTTGCAGCTGTTACAGATTACAATCGTGGGAAAGGACTTGTGACCTTGCAGGACAATGTTTTCAGAAGCTCTGTTGGGTGCTCTCTGTAAAATAAATGCCCTACTGGACCAGTTAAATCAGAAGATGGACTTGATGACTAATGCGGCCAGAACTTTTGAACAGGTAGTGGGAAACTATATGGAGCCCACCCAGGAACTAAAACAGGAGTGTGCCCTGACAGAACAGATGAGAGAAGAGGACGTTGCTGAATCTTGGGTGCCAGAGATGGAGGAAGCTGCGGCCCTGCAGGAACATGAGCCTTTGGATTTGACAAATGATCTTGGGAAAAACCAGATTTGGAAAGATAAAGTTTGGATTGGTTTGGAAATGGGGGGTTGGATTGACCCCCCCATGCAGGGATGTTTGGACTTTCCGAGTCTGGCAATGGGCCGTCAGATGTTTGGAGCTGTGGGGGCTCTCAATTTTGGAGGGAATCTGAAACATGTTCTTAAATATCACACGGAGTTTAGTCCAGACTATGGAAAAGGGGCTGATTTGTTGAAAAGGGTCAAAAACATTACCAAGCTGGAGTTCCCACGAGTGAAAGGAAAATATGAAGAAGAGCTGCGGAAGGGACATGGAAGAGACTTGAGGGCCTCGGATATAAGGTCACCAGGTTAATGCACTAGATCAACGGGATAAAAAGGACTGACAAAACCCGGGACCAGGAGGAAGGGACGCTGGATGAAGATTGGATTGTGCTTATTTCTTTTTTCTATCGTTAGGATTGTTTTATAAAATTGATGAATGTTAGAAAAATGTTGAAATGAAATTACTTGGCTCTAGCAAAAAGGTTTAAAGAATTAGGTAAGAATATTATGGTTATGAGAAGTTGGTAAAAATAAGATTTAAGCTTTAAGGTTTTTTATAAGATAAGATGAAAATAGATTAAGGTAATGTAATGACAGAATATTATGAATTATGGAAAGGATTTGCCGTGATGATTATTAATTGGGATACAAGAAAAGGGAGGAGGAGGAGGTCAAAGAAAGAAGGTAATGAAAGTTGAGAATTTGAGAATGATGGATTTATTTATTATTATTTTTCTTCTTTTTTCTGTTTTGTCTTTTTTTTTAGTAATTCTAATTTTTTTTCAATAAATATCATTTAAAAAAAAGAAAAGAAAGGTATGGTGCATGGATGTGATCTTTCCCCTCACTTTTTCAACTGGCCCCACTCCTGTACTTTTAACAGCAGCCTGGCCTGCAGAAATTAAACAGGTGAAGTGACTCATGGCATGGCTATATCAATGGTAGAGGGAAATATCCAGCCAGAACATGTGTACAGTAAGCCCCGTTGTGATCAAGAATATTTACTCCTTAGTGCAGATAGCCAACGTGGTGCCCTCCAGATGTTTTCTGGACTCCAACCCCCATCAGCCCCTGCCAGCATAGCCAATGATCAGGGATGATGGGAGTTGTAGTCCAGCAACATCTGGAGGGCACCACACTGGCTATCTATGCCATAGGGAATAGGACTGCAGCATTGATTGGTGTATTTTCTGTACCCCATCAGGGTGCTGCTAAACTTTCCTGGGTTTTGCATTTCTGTCAATGGCTCCACTTCCGATGCATCTGAAATCTGCTATACACAATCAGAGTTGGTGTAGAGGCAACAAGTTCCACCATGGTCTCACTAGCAGCTTTAAACCAGCATCCAGCAAAAAAAAATATTGGCAGTCCTGCTGCTGTCATGTAGCCTAGAAAGATGCCTCAGGTTGTGCATCTGTAGGAACAAGGAGGCGTAAGGTCTCAATGAAAGGTGGAGTAACTGTACTAAATAAATGACAGACGTACGGTGCTTGGTTGTTTGCCCTTGCATGGAAATAAAGAAAAATCTAGGCGGTATAGGCAGTTCCGAATTCTATGCCGAGCACAGGAAGTGAATACCGCTGCCAAAATGATTAGAAAAAGTGATATCCAGATGGGAAGTGTTGGCTCTGAGGCTTCTCCCTAGGAGACAGAGTAATGCTGTATCTGGAAGATAGCTTTAGGGGGCTGAGCGAGGATAAGAAGAGCTCTGGAAGGAGAGAGAATTGCAGACGTTTCTTCGTGGATGCTCAGACCAGATATTCCCCCAGCAGCCATATGTGGCTCATTTCAGATGCTGACGTTTGGGGTTTGGAATGGACACACTTTATGGTTTACCAGGAGGGTAGAGAAACTACATTTGCATTTCTCTGCCATAAAAGACCTATATATTGACTCTACTTCCTGAGGAGAGAGAAGCCCTGAGTGCCACTACTTCCCATCTGGATATCTGTTTGAAGACTGTAAAATAAATTAATGGAGGGATAAAAAGAAAAAGAAAAAGATAAAGATCCCCCACTGAACAGGTGTTCCCCCTCCCAATCTCTCCTCCATTCTCCGCCTCCCCCCGCGTCCGCCAAATTACAAGTTGCCAGGAAAAGACGTGGGCCCAGCTCAGTTTTATTTCACTCCCAGCTCCTTCCATTAAAATAATAACAGGCTTTATGTTCCTGAAGCTGTAATTAAACAAGTGCTTTGGGAGGAAGTCCTAAAGCTTGTTGTACTGGAAATAAAGGGGAAGGCAGAAGCTGGGTAGCTTCCGATTGGCTGGTCCCAATTCAATTCCACTATTGTCACGTGACTGGGAAATCAGGCACTCGTTTTTTTAAGCAGTTCTGTGTGCTCTAAATGGATCCCTGCATATCAATCAGCAAGGTACAGTTTCTAACTAGGGTTTAAAAAGAAACTGCAGAAATATCAGGTCTTCAAAGAGCCCCACAGATGAGATGCTGCATTTAGTTAGACAAAAGCAGGCTTTTAATGGTGTGCATTCATTACCCTTCTGGGTCTAGCAGCGATGATTGTACCAATTATGTCTGATATTGATCTTCACTCTTCAAGTATGAAGAGTTTAGTTCTGTCTAGAAAGAGTCAGTCATATCAGGAGGAAAAAATTCTTGGCTCCTGTTGGGCCAGAAGCTTCACTGCTGTATTATTAACATGGGGAAATTCAGAACTTGTTCTCAACAGCCTTAGTGTAAATTCAGGTGAAATAATCAATTAGGGGTAAATGTTACGGAGAGGTGACTGCTGGTTCATGCTGCCCTGCTGGGTGTGATGTCAAAGAACGTTCACAGACATTCTAAACTGAGGAAGGAGATGGGTCACTTGTCTAATCCTGAAAAACCATTTGGATGTTGTGAGACTCTGGGTATGTGTGGGATATGTGTTCTATTGGTTTGAAGAGGTTTGGTAAAAGGAATGCATATAGTGATTTAAAATAAGCAACCAAGGCCTCTACTTCCAAATGCATAGTATAAGCAGTGGGCTGCTAGAGGCTTGTGATAATAGTTTGTAAATTGCTAAAGAGCAGCAATAACTCACACATCAATACAGAAGAGTGCATTGCCCCAAATGTCCCTCTCTAATAGGTGATGTGCATTAAGTAGGAGGAATTATGGTGAACTGCATGTCAATGGGAACACTTCGCCATTGATAAGCACATTTGACTTTTTGGGATGGTGTGGGGAAAATGTAATTGGAGAGGTGAGTGGAGCTTTGAGTATGTCTCAAGGCACAGCACGTGGCATGGAAATGAGGGGCAAGCTCTTGTCACAGCTACATGGAGAGAAGGAGATCTGTTCAGACGGTGTAATTTAGTGTTGTCATTTTCAATGAAACATAAAAGAGAGTTTGGAAACCTAAGGCGTGTAAAAGTGCCAAAATTTATAGTTTTTCCTTGAGACTGTGCCATGATACCCTAACCACAGGAAAGCCATTCCAATTAAATTTCTAGGTTATCACGCCCAGTTTTGTTTATCACATTGTTTCTTAGGTCTTCCTGCAAGGATTTTGAAGCAGCGGAGAATCATTCTCCTAACAAGGGAGGGAGGGAGGTTTGTGGGGGTGGAGAACGGTGATTTGCCTGAAGTCACAGGGCTGGTTCAGATATCATGTTAAACCATAGTTTAGCATTACAGGAAGAAGACCACCTGCCCCCCCTCAAGTTGGGCTCCTACGCTTCTGCTTCTGTCTCTCCTTCCAACACTGGCAAGCAGAGGAGAACAGAAGCTTTTGTCCCCATGATTCCTTAAGAACAGCTTGCTGGACGAACTGTGGTTCATCTAAGCCAGTCTTCTCCAAACTGTTCTGCCCATCAGGTCCATCCAGCATGGACAATGTTCAAAATATCTGGAGGCCACCAGGTTGGGAAAGGAAGATCTCAACTGTGGTTGTTATTTTTTTTTGGGGGGGGGGGAGGCAACTCCAAATCATGAGTTAGGAAGATAGCTCATTTCTTTAAGGGCTCACAGCACCTCTCCCTCCCACAAAGAGGCATTAATCACTCTCTGAGCTAGCCAGTCAATCTCCTTTGGTTAGGTTTAATAAGCTATGACAGGTAAAGGTTGACAGGTATTAAAAGATATTTACCACTAGTTTGGAGGAAGGTTAACAGGCTTCACTAAATCCTGGTCAGAGGAGGCACGGGAGCAGGAGCAAAGGTGTTGATGTACCTCACCTCTTGCTTTCCCAATTCTTCTTTCTTACCACCAGCATTGGCGCATTGAACCCCTTCCACCCCATGCCCCCCAAACATGGCGTCATTCTTCATTTACTAATGAGGCTAACACAAAAATACAGTGGGCATAATCAATTAGGATCACACCCCACTTCTCATCTCAGATGCAAATACTATGTGCATCCAAGGGAGGCTCAACCTTGCCACCTAACACCATACACCATACACTTGTAAATACAAGGGTATGGATCAGCTCCAAGTAATAACTGACTAACTGTCCCTTTGCACAAAACAACAACAACCAGCTGATCCATTAGGTTGGCCTGTTGGCAGTGAACTGACAGCTATAGATGATGTTAAAATTGCTCCTGAACTACTGAAGACTACCCACTGTAGTTGCTGCTGCTGCCTCTCTGCTGAGCTGGATACTCAGCAGACCAGTGCCAGTGAATCCTTAACTAAGCACACAAAACTACATGCCCTTGCTCTGTTATGTCTATCTACAACAGTGATGGCCAAAATTGGCCCTCCAGCTGTTTTGGGACTACAACTTCCATCATCCCTAGCTAATGGGACCAGTGGTCAGGGATGATGGGAACTGTAGTCCCAAAACAGCTGGGGGGCCAAGTTTGGCCATCACTGATCCACGACAACTACACTAACAGGTATTGGGAGATGAGAGAAAAGGAACAACAAGAAAGGCTGCAAAATACTTTATATTTCTAATCATGAAATACGTTGCCTCATTCAGAGTGGCCCTTGAGAAATGGTATCTCAAAAACAGAAGAGGAAGGCTTGCAAATGAAAGTTAATATTTTAAAAAATCATTTGTCTTGATTTAACCCAAAAGTGATGACACTGAACTTCTTGGTGAATTGCAATTCAATTGTGTTCTTCCTTTCAATCTCATTTGTTCTGAATGGGCCACCTGAAGATCAGTTACAGAGTGCCTTGGAAAGCCGAAACATTCCCCCACTGTTTTGGGGTTTCTGCCATTTCTGGTGTCAGATTTGTGTTCATTTATTGTTTTGCGAAGAGGCTGGCCTGTCTGTCCAATGTAGAATGCAGAAGGGCACTGTTGGCATAAATCACGATTGGAAGATGAGCAGGTGAATAGAGAGACATGCTCTGTGAGTTGAACTTGCTTTGCCTCGGTTTTCTTTCCTCCCTGTACATGAAAGAAAGGTGCTCAGAGGTCATACTAATCAGATCAAGCTTCTGCAACCTTTTGACAGACAAGCCTTTTTACTGCTACCTTGGCAGCAGGTAGAGTCAGGATAAAACTGGAGCTGTTGAACTGAAAAGGAAGTCACTGCATGAACATTTTTGAGTGCAAGAAAAGTCAGTATCCAGGAGGCAAGTGTTAAAAAATGCTGCAACTGCTATGCTTGCAATATGGCCATCAAAAACTTAAGTGCCAGACAAAGGACTCCCAGTTCCATTTCTGCCGAAGTGTTCAATCCATAAATCAGATAGTACATAGGCCAAAGCACTGGTTAGATTGTTTATAAAGGTATAATTAACTGGCTAAGTGCTGGCTAAGATGCTGATCCAAAAAATGATATGCCCGATGCATCTTCCATCTGAAGAGCTTGGCAGGTAGTAAGAGCTCCTAGTCTAGAAAGTGGATGGAGTATCAGGACTGGGCAAGTAAATGGTAAGGTAAAGGTAAAGAGACCCCTGACCATTAGGTCCAGTCGTGACCGACTCTGGGGTTGTTGCGCTCATCTCACTTTATTGGCCGAGGGAGCCGGTGTACAGCTTCTGGGTCATGTGGCCAGCATGACTAAGCCGCTTCTGGCAAACCAGAGCAGCACACGGAAACGCCGTTTACCTTCCCGCCAGAGCAAGTAGACCTATTTATCTACTTGCATTTTGACGTGCTTTCGAACTGCTAGGTTGGCAGGAGCAGGGACCGAGCAATGGGAGCTCACCCCATCGCAGGGATTCGTACTGCTGACCTTCTGATCGGCAAGTCCTAGGTTCTGTGGTTTAACCCACAGCGCCACCCGCGTCCCTTTAAGTAAATGGTAGTTATTGCCAAAGAAGAAAGCCTGACCTACTCTGTCAGGACATTATCTCTGGTTAGCTTGTAAAGCAGCAAAACAGCACATCTCTACACTTGGTGTCACTTAGTGGTTAGGGACCACAAGTCTCTGTATCTCAGCCCGAATACATATGTATGAACACCACAGACACACATTTGCAACATGAGGAAAAACAAAACAGACTCAGCTGTTGTAAAGATTACAGAGATGGTATATGCAAAGTGCTCTAAATAATCTAGACTGTATACTAGTCCTACTTAGAGTAGACCCATTGAAACGAAGGTATCAATGGGGTTTGCTCTGAGTAGCTTTATGCTCACCCGACATTTATAGCACAATACATTCCCTCCCCCAGATAATCTTGGGAACTGTGGTTTACCACTCACAGGGCTACAATTTTCAGCACCCTTAACAAACTGCAGTTCCCAGGATTCTTTGAGAGATGTTGTGCGCTTTAAATGCATTGTGTGTATGCAGCCTCAGTTGGAAATACCATTGTGTAAATTGTTGTTGTTGTTCCTAACCTAAAGTATTCGTTCCCCGGTTGCAGAGGCTCACTGGAACAGGCCATCAAAGAGGCAAATCAATCTCATTTCTAATTAACACTCTCCCCCCTCCCCAATGCCTTTTAGGAAAGTGCCTTCTAAAATGTCACACAGTTCAAAGGAAAGCTGGCAAAGGAGAGAAATAGCGACTCATTTATCAATCTGATTATTAAAATGACTTTATATAATCTGTGCTTCACATTGCGGGCTGTCAAAACGGCCAGGTAATCATATTAATGAGATGGACTGAAGAGGAGAACAGCACAGTTAGTGTCTGTTGCTTTGCGGGATATACCTTGGATACGCTTACATGCTCCAGGCTGGTGGCATTGGAATGCAGAGGTTTAAGCCTGACACACAAAATCCAAAGAGCAACAGCTCACTGTGACACTGCAGGCAGTATCAACATGTATGGCTCTTCTGCACTTGAAATATAATGTGCAGCAACGACACTTCATAGCTAAGAAGCTGCCCTATACCAAGTCAGATCGTGGTCCACCTAGGTCAATACTGTCTACACTGACTGGCAGCAGCTCTCCAAGGTTTTAGGCACCGGGTGTTCCCAGTACTGCATGGGGGCACTGAGGGCTGAACCTGGGTCCTCCTGCATGCAAGACAAGTGCTTTACCATGGAGCTAAAGCCCTTGCCATCTCTGAATTAACAATTAGGCTGCATATGTGCTCCAGCGTCTGCTTTTCTAAAGGCCCTGTTTTGTAACAATCTGATTTTGTTTCAGCAGGACAGGTCCTACCATTAGGCAGAGGGAGGCAACTGTTTCAGGCAGCGGATGCTGGGGGGGGGGCACTCAGTTTCAGCAGCATTGCCAACTGTTCCTCCTGAGTCACACACACACACACATTTCCACCTGCCTGAGGACAGAGATATGTGCCCCACGTCTGCCCTGCACCAGCTAAGCTGCTGCCCTTAGAAGCAATGCAGTATGCTGTTCCATAGGCACTGTTGAAGTAACATTCATCTTCTAGTCCAGTAAGCGTCTGGATGTAGCATAGAGGGTGGTCTTGAGGGGAAGGGCCATGGCACAGTGGCAGAGCATCACTCACACACAAGCAGTAGGGATGGGGGAGAAGTTAGATTCGGTTTGCATTTATAGATGAAGTGACCTAATTTGACGTTCCAAAACAAAATGTGAACCAAAAAGCAGACGTCCTTCAAAATACGCACTTCTCTGGATTCTGCAACGCAGTTCCCTGGCTGAGTAATTTGCACACTGATGCATGTACTAGGGTGAAGTGTGCATAAAAATGCATATATTTGTGAAAATAGCATACAAAAACGCATTAAGTAAGGGGAAATGGCTTCGCAAAGATGTGTACATAAAGGCAAAATTGCACACAAATATGCGTATACTAGGAAAAATTAAGAGTAAAATGCTAATGAATTTTTGTAAGGATTTTTTTTTTTTTTTAAGTTGCAAACTGATGTGAACTTGAAGAGTGTGCAAATGAGAAATCGAAGAGAAACCAAAACTGACTTTCATCCATCCCTGGGAAGTAGAAAAGGAGACTATTCTTGGGAGAGTCACTGACTGACGAACCTTGTTAAGATATGGCCAGCAACGCAAGTAAGCTAATCAGGTCTTGGCTAGTATTAAGTCTAAAACAATTTCCAGCAGAAATGTGATTAATCCATGCATGACAGCTTAAAGGTCAAAGCTAGAAATGCAGTCCTTCTTGACTGCAAGGAAAGAACTGACTTATTTTTATCTCTTCTTTAAAAATTACAGCAGCCATGAAGTGGCTCAAGGAGCAGAGTAATGAATGCCATAAACCTGCCTCATAAAAATGGCATTCATGCGGTAATACAGCGGGTCAGATGAGCAGGGAACATTTCATTAAAAATTCCCCTTTCTTGCCTACCCAAGAGAGGCTTAAAACTAATCATATAAAATGGCTGAGTGACACCATTAACGAGCATTAATATTTTAAAGCTTTAATAGTACAACAGAGCGGGGCTGTTATATCAAAATTATACAGCCTTATTAGATGGTGCACTTGGCTGTATTACACTTGAAGTGTCAGTTTCTCTGGAAGAAAATATTGAGGTACCCAAGATCCATGGCATAAATGTTTTAAGGTTTTTGTTTGTGTGCATGTTTGAGCTCCGGAGGTGGTGACGGATCCCTGATGTGAGCAAACTTATGATCACTTGTTTAGTGTAGCAGAAAGTGTGAGAGAAAGGCATAAAGCTTTGTTGTGAAGGTTGAAGGCGCAGTCCAGACCTCTGGTCCAGCACACTGAGAAGGGTTAGTTAGATGGGGTGGCAGTCTCCCTCCAGCAAACCCAGAACATCTCTGCCAACCCCCAGCCATGGAGTGATGCCAGCACCACTCTGACAGCACATTGCTCCTCTTTCCAAAGGCCAAAAGGGAGACCCTGGACCAGAGCCGGATTTAGGTTTGATGAGGCCCTAAGCTACTGAAGGTAATGGGGCCCTTTATATGTCCAGCTGTCCTTTGTCAACAACAAATTGTCACTGTTTTTTTGTGTTGAATATATGCTATATGGTAATTTATGGACCTAATAGGTATCTAAAGCCATTTGCACATGTTGCCATGCAACCAATCCGTGCAGAACGTAGGTACCTTATATATAGAAATGAGCAAACCAGTGATATTTTAGGGAGCAGGCTAGCAGGTGAAGCCCATTACTTACATCATAGGAGCCTACACAACACAAAACACTGTTGCTGTATGTAAGTTTTGCTTTATTTGTTTTTTATCTTATACAGTGGTACCTCTGGATACGAACGGGATCCGTTCCAGAGCCCCATTCACATCCTGAAGTAAATGTAAGACACGACTGCGTGTCTGTGCATGCGCAGGTTGCGTTTCGCCGCTTCCGCGCATGATGCCATTTTGAGCGTCTGTGCATGCGGCAAAACCCGGACGTAACACGCTCCGTTACTTCCGGG